CTTATTTTACTAAGTCTGCAGTGACAATAAGTGGCACTTATTCCACACATGACAGTTGAGGTTAGGTGTTTACCCACTGCAGAGATTTCTCACATACCCCCTGACCCAAAACATGCCTGTGAGAATCTCATAGCACCATAACAGCTCACTTGTCACTATTTTCAGCACTCATCAAGCCAAAGCTGGTGATCCTCTCGATTTCCCTAAGTGCCTGGTGCCTACAATCTCCTCTGGCAAATTTAAGCAAAGAAATGAATTTGTTGAAACTCTCAGAAACTCCAAAAAGACTGGGGAGCTAGACAAGAAAAATAAGAGGCAAAGTAGCCAGCACCAGGGCCAAAATGATGCCATGGAAAGAGCGGTGATGAACTAATGCTACCTCACCAACCACTGAACAGAGAATGTACTGCTGATGCCAGCAAGAAACACTGCAGGCCAATATTGGTCCAGCTGCCACCCCTGCCCATGGAAAATGGGTGATGTTGCTGTGCATTCCCTTCCACCAGAGAACTTCTTATTACTGCTTCATTTCATCACAACCTCCTCATACAAATCAGGATAGATGAGCCTGATTGGCTAAGCCTAGATCATATATCTACAGATTTTTTCTAGATCATATATCTGCAGGCTGGGCTGCAAGGAAGGCTGGAGAAGCAATTATCTAAATACTGAGTATTCTGTAAAAGGATGCAAGTACTGCTTTACCTTAAGTTTCAGAGTGAATTATTCCTCAGATATGGGAAGTAAGTTCAAATTTTGGCTCACAAGAAAGTTCCTGTTACACTATTTGGGAACACACAGGGACTAACATTTATGCTAAAGAGTTCCGTTTATTTACAGAAGATGTAAAAGATAGAAATAGGGATCTCTAACACTCCTGCTTGCTTTGTGGAGTCTATCAGTGTAATGTCAAGAATACGAGTTCTAAAGCTTGTGTTGTGCTTCTTCAGAGTCCTGTGGCCTGAGGCATTTTACTGAAGTTCTATGAGTCTTTCTAATAGAGTTTCTCCATTGCTGTGAAAATGAAATGAGACTGATTCATTCAAGAAAGGAGGCAAAAACTGATAACCTGGCTAGAGGCTTATTGATTTTATTGATCTTTTCAAATAACCAGCTTTTGGTCTCATTGATTTTCTCTGTTGATTTTTTCTTTTCTATTTCATTGATTTCTGCTCTATTTTTTATTATTTCCTTTCTTCTGCTTACTTTGGATTTAATTTTATCTTCTTTTTCTAGTTTCCTAAGGTGGAAGCTTAGATGATTGATTGATTTTAGTTCTTTCTTCTTTTCTAATAAATGAATTCAATGCTATAAATTTCCCTCTATATGCTGCTTTCTCTGCATCCCACAGGTTGTTGTCATTTTTATTTAGTTCAGTACATTTTAAAATTTCTCTTGAGATTTATTCTTTGACCCATGTGTTATTTAGAAATGTGCTGTTTTTTGGGGTCTTTTTTGGTGAGGAAGATTTGCCCTGAGTTAACATCTGTTGCTAATCTTCCTCTTTTTGCTTGAGGAAGATTGTCCCTGAGCTAACATCTGTGCCAATCTTCCTCTATTTTGTATGTGGGTTGCCACCACGGCATGGGTTTATGAGTGGTATGTAGGTCAGCACCTGGGATCCTATCCTGTAAACCCCAGGCAGCTGAAGTGGAGCACATTATGCCACCAGGCTGGCCCCATATGTCATATATTTAATACAGTTAAATTCATCAGTCGCAATCTCCTTTCCATCCTGGGATTGCCCCATATCCTGGTTGATATTTTAAAATTTGCACAAGTTAAATTTCACCTTTCCTGATGTACATGTCTGTGAGTTTGGACAAATGCAGAGTCATCCACCCATTATCCCAGTACCACACAAATCAGTTCCATCATTCTAAAACTTCCCCTGTATGTCCCCTTTGTAATCAACCACTCCACCCTCCCTCAACCCGTGACAGCCGCTGATCTGTTTTCCATCCTTATAATTTCGCCTTTTCCAGACTGTCACATGAATGGAATCCTTTTGTATGAATCAATAGCTTGTTCATTTTCGTTGCTGAATAGTATTCCAATGTGCAGATGTGCCACTGTTTTTCTATCCATTCACCTATTGAATGGCATCATGATTGTTTCCAGGTTTTTGGTGATTATGAATAAATCTGATATAAACATTTATAATCAGGTTTTTGTGTGAATATAGGTTTGTAATTTTCTTGGGTAAATACCTAAGAACGTGATTGCTGGATGATATATTAAGTGTATTTTTAACCTTGTAAAATATACCAAATTGTCTTCCAAAGTAGCTGTACCATTTTGCATACCAATGCATGAACTGGCATCCATTCAGCAACGAATGGGAGTTCTGGTTACTTCACATCCTTGACAACACTTGGCGTTGTCAGTTTCTCAGATTTAGCCATTCTCATAAATGTTTTTTAGGAAAGAAATTCATAAGCTCTTTTCTTTGCACAGAGTAGGCGTACATTAAAAAAATCAATTAATAAATGAAGTTAATTATGTTCAAAGAACAAATGCCTAAAGAAAGTGAAAAGCTTTCCCCAATAGGTGTGATACTAACTGAGGAAGTTTATATTTTAGTATGAAGAGCAGCCTGGCACACAGGAGGTGCTGATGAGTGATACTTTCCCTCATCCCCATCCTGTCTTTTCTCAGAGATTTCTGCATTCTCAAAAGGAAAAAGCTTCCAGTCAAGCAAGGAAGCTTTGACGGTAGACTTTCAGATATCAATCACTGGAGAGAGGGTCATTAATTTAGACACTCGGTCTTCACCACTTATTCCAAGTTCATCTAAGGTAGGGCCTCAAGTCTGTGGAAGACATTCTGTTGGTCAAGTCCAAAGTCCTACTCTCTGCCCTCACTTTTCTAGAACTCTCTACTAGGAGGCAATTGAGGAAGATGGTAAGGCAAGGGGAGGGGAGAAGGGACTTCCTTTTTCCTGTTTGCCTGCTGTCCTGGTTATATAGCCCTAGCAGCCACAGATTATCCTGGCAGTGGCAGTTGATTCCAGACTTCCTTTGGGACTTCCTATGAGACTCCCCTGCAATGCTCCTCTTCAGATAATGTCCAAATCTCCATCTTTGCCAAACTCCTCTGAGCCCCTAAATTACCCATAACAGCCAGCAACCCCTCCTCAGAGCTCTGGGCTCCAGCTCTGAGGGGCCGTCCTCTGAGCATCCCTTCCCTTGTGTTCCCCCAGCCCTAGGGGCAATGGTTCCTTCCTGCAGTTACTCTCTCTGGACAACCTCAGTGCTCCACTTCTGTTCTTTCAGCCCTCCATCCAGCCCATGTGATCAATTCCCTGTATTAAATTCTTTTTGGTGAATTACCTACCATATTATATATTTGTCCTCAGATTCTCATATTTAGGTTATTTCCTTCTTTTATATTAAAAACAAAGCTGCAGTCAATATTTGTACATGTCTCTGGGTACATGTATGTAAAGGCTTTTCTATAATGTGGAGCCAGAAGCAGGGTTCCTAGGTCACAGGTACAAGCATCTTCAACATTACTAGACAAAATCACTCTCTGCACTTTAGAGAAGCATTTTTATTCACCATATTGTTCATCACTGTTTGCATTTCACCTCTCCTTCCTCAGGGTATTACTAATGGCGCCAAGACCCAGAGAAGGAAGCTGCCTTGGCTTCTATTTGATAAAATCCTGATGAATTTTATAAACCAGAGTTTGCTGATAAAGCAATAACAGATCCCTGGCATTGTTTCACTTTGATAGTTGGTAGCATCAGATCTGCGAGGGCCAACACTCAGGGAGATGGAGCAAGCTTCTCTCTTGATGCTTCAGTTGAATTACAAGTATTTTCAGACACTATACTGGTTACTGCCAAGGTACACTTTATCCAACTCTGTGTGGTTCCTTGAGGTCTGGCAGTTTGGGACTTTACAAGCCTGAGGCACTGGAATCTTTGCCTGGCTGGGTTCCCCAGAGCTCCAGCCCTCTCATGTGAGGTTTTGCCACATCCCATCTCCTTGGAGTTCTGCTAGGGAACCATCAGTGTGTACCTCAAATGGACTCACCAACATTTTCCTGTCTCAGGAACTCTCTCTCCTGAGACACACACACATACAGACACACACAGAGACACACACACACAGACTTCCCTGAAAAAGGTGAAAAGAGAAGCTGTCTCCCAGTGTGGGTCCCCACGGTTGAACCTGGTCCAGTGGGAGGGGCGACCTCCAGCCACAATGGCTGGGAGACCACAAACCCTGTCTCAGATTCCAAGACGGTGAATAGGAGTCATGAAGAAAACCAACCTGAGACTCAGCTTCCAGCCATCTTGGCAGCTGGAGGCTGACTAGAGGAAATTGTATCCATTTATTCCTCTAGGAAAATAATGTGATGTTTTCTGCACCTGGGTAGTTTAACAGGCCATCCCCATTATATTGTGTTATTTAAAAGTTTATTCGCAACTCTGTGAGGTGGGCAGTATCATTGCCATTTTTCGAGTGAGGAAAGTAAGGCGTCAAGAGGTAAAATAACTTGTCTGAATGGCAGGGTTGTGACTTGAACCAGAAGAGGCCTGACTCCCCAAAGCCCACGTTCTAACTTCCCACCCAAACTCCTTGGCATAAGCAGTGGAAGAAGCTGGGACACACTTACCCGGGCTGCCCCCCGCCTCCAGCCCACCATGCCTTCCCGAACTGCCTGGACAAATGGTGCCAGAAAACTTAGCATCGTGCTGGGATACACTTCTTATATATTTGAATGCTTTGACTTCGTTGCTCTTGACTGCTGTTGCAGCTTCGGTTACATTTTCTCACCTGCTTCTGGCTGTGCATATCCCCACACGGGGCACGTGCCGTCTCCTGCTCACCAGCGCCTGCTCTCTCTAGGGAAGCCAGCTTCATTGCCCTAGTAACATAGCCAGGACTGAACCTTCCCTTTGACAAAATCTGAAGCAGGAGTCAGTCAATGTTTTTTTAATGTAGGTCTTTATTTTTCCTGTGCAAATATGAATATAGGCATAATTAATAGTTAAGGCTTTTAAAATATGTGCATTTTGAGAATACATCACTAGTTACATTTTGCAGTTGATATGAGCTTGGATCACACCTTCCTTTAAGAGACCTCTTAAATTCACTTAAAAAAATTAAAATGGCCCAATGATCCATAATAAAAACCAGAAGAGATTCATATGAACCCAAAACACATGCTTGAAAGTGCAGCATCTTTCACATGAACTATACTAGGGCCCGGTTACATGGATCATGACATCAGACCACAGAGACTTCAAAGCTGCTGGAGCAAAGCCGGCCATTTTGTCCCAGAAGGAGAGAAAAGAAAAAGAAAGAGGAAGAGGAGGAGGAAAAGAAGGGAAGGAAGGAAGGAGAGAGATTGAAGAGAAGAGAAGGGGAAACCCTGCACATATGGCTTCTCTGCATCAGGAAAATGATTCATTTTTGGGTAATTTACAGTGTGTATTTAAGCAAAGGATAGACCATTGAGGTCATAATTCACAATCATAGAACCTGAATATATAAATGTCTTATAAAATGCTAATGGAATTCTATTTACTGGGTTACAAAAAAGAAAGCTAGTTTCTGTACTCTGCACGCTTCTGGCTAGCTAAGAGCTTCGTCTGGGGATGTAATTCCAAGGGAGGGTGGGGCTTCCTCTGTGGGGGTGGAGGGGCAGTTTGCAAAGACACAGCCTAAGAGTCTCGTCTTCTAAAAGTTCTGGTCGTCAGCTTTATTTGGCTTAGGACCCCATTCCAACCTCCAACCTGAAGGGCTCACCTGGAGCACAGCTCTCTTGCCGCAGCCAGAACAGGCCGCCCCAGAGGCCCCGTCCCTGGACCGGGAGACAGGCTGTCTCCGAATCTCTTTGGCCGATGAGAAGGAGGGGTCTCTTTCCTAACCGAGATGCTCTTTTCCGTGAAACACACTCTGGCTTCACAGGGGCTGGAGGGCAGGGAGTCTGGATTTGCTCCACAGACGTGGCGTGACCTCAAATGGGGTGGCCTCGCTTTATCCCTTGTACTTGTCACAGAACGACCAAAGGCCAGAGTTTCTGGGGTCCTAAAGAGCACCTGGGGAGATACCAGATTCAGAAAGATGCTCCAAACTGTCTCATGTAAGGTTGAATTTGAGTGACGACGTTGTATTGTCAGCTTCTGATATGTCTCCCTTATCAGAGGAGGTGGGGTGACGTGTGGGAGGCGGAGGGTGACTACAATATTCCATTTACAAGAAAATGAAGTCCAAAAGTCTAAGAAATCCTCGTGCATAAAAAAATAAGAGTTCTGTGCACACCCTTTCCTATGTTTGGGTTGGGGACACCTCATACTTTAAGAAGCCCTGTGTCACTCAGTGTTTCATGTGGACCTCACAACAGCCTGGCACCTAGCTGGTAATGAGTCCTGTTTTCAGATGAGGAAACTGAGCCTCTCTCCCAAGGCCACACAGCTTGCAAAGGGTAAGGAGAGCTGGAAATCAACCCTGGCCACGTCCCGTGTCGTCTACCTGCGGCCACAGAGCATCCCACTGACAGGACCGTGGGAGACAGAAGACAGACATCTGCATTGTCACTGTTATTTGGCCTCTGTTTTTGTAGCATCCCCAGGAGCTTCCCCATCGGATGGGACATCTGTCCCACAGATCTTCACCTGGCTTTCCAGCTGGCTGAGACGCTGCTTCACTCTCATCTGGGTGGAGTTGTACTCGGCCAGGAGCCGTGCAAACCTGGTCTGCAGGATGTCCAGGGAGGACTCCAGGTGCTCCACCTTCTCCTCGATGTCCTTGGGGTCCACCCCGGCCTTGGCCAGTTCCTCGTCAATCAGGTTGTCCTTCATCAGGATCTGTCGTCCCTTCTCCTCCAGGGCCTTCTTGGCATCAGGGTATTCAGTGAGAGCTTCCATCAGATCATCCTTGGAAAGGCAGAACAGGTCTGAGTAACCAATGCTCCTGATGTTGGCCGTCCTGCGGTTCCCTGATTTGCTCCCCTTGATGTTTAAGATGCTGATCTCCCCAAAGTAACTCCCATCACTGAGGACCACGAACTGTGTGATCCCATCGTCGGCCACCACAGCCAGCTTGCCCTCCTTGATGATGTACATCTCCCTCCCAATGTCCCCCTTCTTGCAGATATAATCCCCAGGGCTGAACACTGTGGGTCGCAGCTTCAGCACCAGTTCCACCAGCAGCCCCGCCTCGCAGTCCTGGAAGATGCGGACTTTCTTCAGAGTGTCCAGGTGCACATTGATGGCGATCTCGGCCTTCAGCTTGTCTGGGAGGCTCTTGAGCACCTCTTTCTCATCCACTGTCTTCCTGTTGGCCCACAGGTAGTCAAACCACCGGATAACCCGTGTCTCCAAGTCCTTGGTCACCTTGCGGAACTGCATGTACTGCTTGATGGAGTCAATCTTGGCCTGGAACTCGGCCCGTGAAGCATTCATGTTTGAGATCATGGAGCCCACATTGCCCACAATGGTAGCAAAAATCAGGACACCTACCAGGAAGTCTACGACCACAAAGAGATACTCCTCATCTTTCACAGGGGGTGGGGTCTCACCGATGGTGGTCAGGGTCAAGGTGGACCAATAGAGACTGTAAATGTACTTCCTGGAGAGCCGTGCATTCTCAGGTTTTGAAATGTTTGGATAAACCCAGGAATCTGTCCCGAAACCAATAAACTTGGAAATGGCAAAGTAGATGCAGGCATTCCAATGGATGATGATGAGGATATACAAGACCAAGTTCCCAATCCTGAACACATTGGGGTAGTTGGTCCTCGTCTCCGTGCGGTCAAAGAATTCAAAGAGCCGGGCAAACTTCAGTAGGCGGTTGAACCTCAGTTCTGGGTAGTTCATGCCGAGCTTAAAATAAGCCAGGTCCGTGGGGACCAGGGACAACATGTCCAGCTTGAATTGCAAGGTCTTTGTGTAATGCTTCCACAGCCTCTTGGTGTCCTTGACCATCAAGCCCTGCTCGAGGAAGCCTAAAGAAGAAGATGGAAGTCACTTGGGCAACAGGGTCTGCCTTTTTTTGACCGTGGTTCACAGAAAGATATCTTACCTTGTGACTACAGAAGACGTAGTTATACATATATAACAGAAACAATTTTCAAAAACCACATTTACCATTACTACAGGAAATGCACTTGGTTACTTTCTATTCTACGATGTTCTAATCTATTTTATTTGATTAAAAATATAGATCGATTGGGTAAAATTAATTGTGGGTTGGTTATTCAATGATAGCAAAGAATGATTATTAAGTTTTAAAAGATAAATGGAAGTTATATTTAAAAAATGTGTCCTTTAAAGTTAGAGATACACACTAAGTGGTTACTGTCTGAGATTTGCCTTAAAATACTCCAGCCACGAACAGAGGGTGGGTGATAGATGAAACAAGATTAGCAAAATGTTGATAACAGTCGAGCTAGATGAGGGTACGTGGGGATGCATAATACTACTCTCTATGATTCTGTGCAAGTTTGAAAACATTAACAATAAAAATCTTAAAAACACAGGTCATGGCCTGTCAAATTGATTTGCCCAGTCACTAATGGAGCATGACCCGTTTTTTTAAAACATTGCCCAAGAGCACAGTTGTTCTCCTTCCTGGTTGCACATTACTGTCAACCAGGGGGCCTTTAAAACACATGAAGCCTGGGACCCACCCGCTGGGACCCCGCCTGCCTCGAGATGGGCTGGCCAATGGAAGTTGCGAGGCATTTGTACTGGTGAAATCAATCAAGTAGACCATGACTTGCATTCTTCTTCTCCTTCTCTTTTTCCAAAATATTTTCAAATATGCACAAAAGTAGAGAAAATAATATATGAATCCTTTTTAAATTTTGATAAGCATCAGAATCATCCTGAGGGTTCTGTAAACCACCAAGTGCCAGGTCCATCCCCAAACTCTGGTTCCATGGGTCTGGGGCACTTCTAACAAAATGCAAGTGATGTGCTGGCCCAGGGCCACACTTTGAGGGCTAGACTGAGATAGGACTGCTCCATCTGTGAAAAGCAAACATCAAGTTTGTTGTCACATGTTAGGGACACCCTCCCTCTTGGCTCCCAGGCCCTCTATCATTCTTTGCATACACTGTGTTAATTGAGTGCCTAGATCATTATGTGGTACACCTTGTGCCTTGGAACTCCTCGATACTTCTTTACTACGTCTTCTCTAACTCTGACAACTTTTCCCATTGAAGGATCATCCATGACCACTTGGTTTCTATGCCCACCTGCCCCCTCGCCCCCCCTCCCCGCTTCCCTGGCTTCCTGCTGAATCTTAAGTTGCCAAGGACAGTACCCAAGCACAAGAAGGGGTGGAGTCAATGCCGGAGTGAGGGTGACCTGTCCCACTGAAGCTTGGTTGAAACAGGAACAGTTGGCCGAATGAGTCCGGCCACTCACGGGGCTTTTCTGTCTCAGTGGGCTTATGTGACCATGGAGTGGCTGACCACCAGGACTGGCTCAGTCACCTATGCAAGCCTCAAGCTGTGTGCCTGAGGTCTTTAAGTGATGATGCTGGGCACTAACATGGAAGCAGATGGGGTGCCAGTCTGGTCCTGCTGGGTAGTGACTGTGGACTTTGGGCAAGTCATTCAGTGTCTCTGAGCCTCAATTTCTAAATCAGCAAGATGGAGATAATCACACCAGCACCTCTTGTCTCCTGCAGCAGTTCTAACGAGAAAAGAAGACGTGCTTGAAATGCTTCGTACACTGTGCAGTCACACCGAGGTTTCTTGCTGTGATCTGGTGGTGTTTATATCGACAACCATGGCATGGTTTTTAGTTCAAAAATCTCGGAAGTGACAAGCATGGCCTCCACCAGCTTATGTGATGTCTCTGAGCAAATTTGAAAAAGGTGCCTCAAGGGTGCAGAGCTTGGAGCCTAAGGCATGGGTGGGGTTTCAGCCCCTACTTACAACCGGAGGTCACCGAAAGAAAGTCGTCATTTGCCTAGGCCCTGCTTCAAATTTTAGTTCTCCATATATTAAAACTCCTCTGCAGCCACAGAGTAATATGTCCCGGATCCACTGACTGTCCAAGAAGAGGAACTCCAAGGCTGAGCCGGCTCTCCCTCCTGCTTCCTGCCATGTCCAAGAGTCACAGCTGGAGGGGTCCTTTGAGATGACGGGTTGGCCGCCTTCTTATTTCAAAGTTGATACAGATGAGGCCCAGAGAGACAGCTCGACTTGTTCAACGTCACACAACTAGTTGGGACAGCAGAGACCCAGGTGTCCTAACCCTTGCTTAGGGTCTCATCCAAGGGGTTATTGTGGCACCACCCATGCTCACTGTTGGGGGTTCCTCAGACCTGCCTGGCCTCTCCTGGTCTGGGGTAGGTAATGTCCACCCTACTGTTCTGGATCTCCCTGAATGTGCCCCTGGTCCCCCTCCTGATGCACTCTGTGTGGTCTGTGGGCCGGCCCAGAGTAGTCCCCAGGCCTGGAGCACACTCACCTGTCCGGGCTCTCACCAGCACATCCAAGCCATACAGGACATCTGCTGAGTAGTCCAGGACCAGCCACAGCATCAGGTGGTCAGACTGAAGCTCATCAAAACAGGCCCTAAACAAGTGCGGGAAGGAGCAGGCATGTCAGGGACAGGGACCAATGTGGCCCCTGCTCTGTGCTGCACACAGTGGGTTGATCCATCCTGGTGGCAGCCCTGCTGCATGGTTTGTACCCCGTGTCATCACTCCAGGCTCTGAAGAGCTTTTCTGTCCCAAGGTCACAGAGAGCTGGGATCAACCCCAAAGACGGGGCCCTGTGGCCTCTCAGCGGTAAGCTCTGAGACCCCGGGAGTGGCAAACTTTCTAGGCCTCACCGGTGGAGTCAGGTGAAGAGGCTCAGGACTTGCCCTTTCTGGGATCAAATGCCAACGAAAATATAAGAATTTCTGAGAGATTAACCACTGAACAAGCCAGTAAATATTTTCTACCTCCTAGATCTTTATCCTCGCTATTCCTCATAAAGGCAATACCCTCAAAGACCCCTCTCAGCCCCAAAAGAGTAGCAGTTGCTCCTGTGTCCCCATCCTGCAGCTTGCTCAGCAACCGCAAAGTCCCCTGCTGCCCCTTCAGAGCAGCAACAGGTCCCTGCAGCCACAGAGCTGACACTCCAAAAGCAGCAGCTTGCCTGTGTGTCCCCTCCTGCAGGTGTGCTAGGAAAGGCCCCAACTTCTCCTCTTTCTCACTCCCCACCCCAACTTACCCTCAGGAGAGCAAGGGATCACCCCTGGCCCAGACGATCCGGAGAGCCCTGCTCACACTGAGACAGCAGTGCAGGTCTCCGCTGCATCCCTGACGTGCAGCAGGATCCGGGGCCTCCAGACCCACCGCTCAGCCTCAAGAGCAGCAGCTTCGTCTTGCGGGCTGGCTCAGGATTGCCCCAGAGCCCACCATCTGCTCTCAGAACAGCGGGCCTCCCCTGCAGCCTTATCTTGCAGTCGGGCTCGGGAAAGCCCCAAAGGCACCGCTTACCCTCACAGAGCAGCACCTCTGGCCGGCATCACGTTGTGGTCCTACAACATGCTCAGCAAAGTCGCAAAGCCCCTGCTCACCCCCGGAAATAGTCCAACCCGTCCTGCAGGCTTGCTTAGGAATGCACCCAAGCCCCCTGCCTCCCCTGCACCGCCACATCTACCCTCAGAAGAGCAGCAGCTCACCCTCATCCTGGTCCCACAGGCCCGCTAGGAAGGCCCCCAACCCCTTGCTTACTCTCAGAGAGTAGCAGCTCACCCCTTATCCCACCCTGAAGCTTGCTTAGAAAAGCCCCGAAGGCTCCTGTGTACCTCCAGAGGAGCAGCACCTTGCCCCTCTGTTCCTGAACCTCTGGCTCAGGAACTTCCCACAGCCCCGGCCACCCTGGGAAGAGCACATATACCCCACGGCCCCCTGCTTACTCTCAGAAACGCGGCGTCTTGTCCCTGCATCCCCGCCCGCACCTTGCTCAGAAATGCCAGCCAGACCCCCGCCTGCCACATTAGAGGAGAAACAAGGCGCCCTCCATGCCTCTCCTGTAGACTTTCTCAGAAATGCCCAGAAACCCCCGCGTGCCCAGACAGCAGCGGCTCGCCCTGCATCCCCGTCCTGCAGCTTGCTCAGGAAAGTTCCAGAGCCGCCACTTATCCCCACAAGAGCAACAGCTTGGCCCTCATCCCAGAAGTACACACTTGCCCAGGAACTTCCCAAAGCCCACATCTAACCTCACAAAGCAGCAGCGGCTCACCCTGCACACCGGAACTGCATCTTGCTTGGGAAAGCCCAAAGCCCAGCTTACGATCAGAGATCAGCGCCCTCCCCTGCTCAGGAATGCCCCAACCCCTACCCACTTCCCCTCGAGGAGCAGCAACTCGCTCCTGAATCTTCCTCCTACAACTGGATTAACAGGGCTCCAAGGTGCCAGGACCCTCTGTTGATCTCAAGCACAGTCCCCATCAGTGCTTCAGAGAACTCTAATGGTCCTCTTTTAGATCCTCCTTACAAATGGAGAAACCGAGGCACATATAGCTGGATGGTGATTGTGAGGGGACCAGAAGTCCAGCCTCCTGAGTGGGACTCAGAGCTCAGTCTGGAGGGCTGTCTGCCCTCACTCCCCGCCCCTCCCTCCCTGACCCTCCCAGGCTGGAGGCCCCACCCCACACCCATACCTGCACACGAGCAGACACCAGTTATAGAAGACGGGCAGGGCAATGGCAGTCAGCCAGTGGTAGTACACGTTGCTGGAGGGGTCCACCACAATGGGTTCCTTCTTCTTTCTGGAAACACGGAGACACACAAACAGTGCAGTGTGTTGGAAGACCACAGCATTGGAGGGTCTTAGAGACCTGGCCTAGCTTAGAGACCCTGGGGCAATTGCAGGCTGAAGCTCAAGAGATGGCAGTCCAAGGACAGTGTCCTGTCAGTCTCAAGAGGTCACACAGGGTGTCCCTTTATGGGAAGACAGGCTGGGAACAGGGCAGACTCTGCTCCTTCCCTCCTTGCTCAGCTCCCCAGGAAGCCACAGTTGACTATAAAATCACGGTGATGTCACGCCCCTGTGTCCTGGGGTGTCCTCCATGCCCTTCAGGATGCTGAGAACAAACATGCAGCATCGTGATGTGGGAACTGTCTGGGGGAGCTTTGTGAAAATGCCATTTCCCAGGGCCCACCTGGACCACCATCCAGGGCTGGGGCCTGGAAATGTGCATTTTAACATTGCCTTAGGGGGTTTCTGAGGCTGCCCCTCTCTGGGCTGAATTTGGGAGCCCTGGGGCATTCCCTTGGGAACGCTCTCCATCTGGCTCACTGCATCTGTGCAGACATTCTAGAGACTCATTTCCAGGCACTTGGATCCTGCCTGTCCATCAAAACCACCAAGCTGGGACTCATCTAGGTTACATGGGCCAACAGTGAATGGAAGGAGCAGCTCAGGGTGCCTTCCGGTTTTATTTTCAGGATTTTCTGAGGATTACAGTTTACAGGCAGTCCGGGAGAGTCTTCTTTTTCTCTGTGTCCACGTTCTCCTCCTCCACTCCACAGCCCCCACATGCTGGCCCAGGCCTGCCGGGCTGCTCCTATGCCCCAGAGGAGACCCTGGGGTGCCTTCCTGCCTTCGCCTCCACTCAGTGAGTGACAGATCAACTGCTCACTGACAGGGCTTTGGAATGTTCCCGACGCTCATCACCACGGGGTTTGGATTAAAGTTCGTGAATAGAGTTTTCTAGTGCCCAGGAAGCCTCAACTTACCCCAACTGTGTGGACGGCCGCTTGTGTGGACAAACAGAATGCCTGGGGAGAGGACACGGGGCAGGTCCACAGGGACAGCCCCGAATTGCTCCTTGGTCTACCTGTCAGCCCCCTTTGGGCTCCCAGAGCTGGGGCAAGACTCTTCCTGTAGAATGGGCCCCTCACGTGATTTCAGGATGCCTGACTCCTGCCGGGGCAGGCTCCTCTTCCACAGCCCAAGCAGGCCCCTCTGACTGAGCCGCATGGCCTTCAGACTCCCCAGCCCTGGGCCCCGGGAGCGGCAGGCCTGCGGTGACCTCTGAACCCCTGCCTTTGGAGGCAGCTTTTCTCAGTACTTACTCCTCTTGCTTGGGGCAGTTTTCCTTTTTCTCTTCCTTTTTCTCTTTCTCCTCCTTTTTCGCCTTGTCACTGGATGATACAGGGTGACATTTAGCAATTTTCATATGCCAAGGACACTACCAAGTGGAGAGGGCAGGCTATGGTAACATGGAGGAGAGGGGGTGGTGTAGGAAAGGACGTTTCCAGCACGCTGGGAAGAAATGAGGTTATTTATTTCAACATTATAATTATAATAATATCTTTATTATTATATATAATAATATATATAATATTATATATATTATATATAAAAAAATTATTATATATAATAATATCTTTATTATAATTATAATTACTATTCCTGGAGTGAGGTAAGCCACCCCCGGAAGCACACGCTGTATACACTGAGGTATACATGTACAGGGGTCAAGTCTAACGTTCTACAGTTCCTGACCTATGTTCATGAGCCCCTAGGAACTCACAGACAGCTTGAGACGGGAGACATTTTGAGGTAAAGGGAAATAAACCCCAAACCACACATTTAGGGCGGAGAAGTCACTTGGAGCTTTGGAAGTCACATGTAAAGCCGTCAGATCTGAGGGAAAGGTGTGGCCTGTTGTTTGTTGTGGATCAAATGAAAACCTGGCCCTTGCCGGACTGTGAGGCGGTAGGTGGAACAGCGCCCCTCCCGCCCACATCTGCAGGAAGGTCCCCAGGTGCAGTGTCTCCTCAGCACGTGGCTTGGCCCTGCTTCGTCTTCTTTATTGCATGTCTTTCGTGGGCTAGGCATGGTTCTAAAGGTTATCGTTAACAGTTATAGTAGTTCTGCAAGCAGGCATCATTGCCCAGGGAACAGTTGAGGAGACCAAGGTGAAAGGTAAAAGACCCAGTCTGCCCGATGGGGCATCCACTGGAATCATCTCGGGCCCCTCGGATTCCTCTATTCTACATCCCTGAGGAAGGCGCGGGCTGAGAAATAAGTGTCTGCAAATTAAACCCTTGTTGAACAAGACCAATATGATTTACCCAGAACTTCCTCAGGAAATAATCCAAGACGTGTGTGAACACGCATCGAGAAGAATCACTACCATTCTGTCTAATAGTCAAAAAGTGTAAGCAGCCTAATCACCCAACAGTATGATCTTCATCATCAATGACGGAATTTGATGAGACCACTTGAAATGGTATTGAGGGAGAATATTCAGTGACATGGGAAAATTTTCCTAATATTTCATGAAGTTAAAGAGCAGACTGCAGGGGGCCGGCTCTGTGACTGAGTGGTTAAGTTCACGTGCTCTGCTTCGGCGGCCCAGGGTTTCGCTGGTTTGGATCTGGGGCGCAGACATGGCACCACTCATCAAGTCATGCCGAGGTGGTGTCCCACATAGCAGAACTAGAAGGACCTACAACTAAAATACACAACTATGTACTGGGGCGCTTTGGGGAGTAGAAGACGACGAAAAAAAAGATTGGCAACAGCTCAGGGCTAATCTTTAAAAAAAAAAAAGCAGACTACAAAAGAGTTCATAATAATAGCTGTATTAGTTTTCTATTGCTGCCAGAACAAATTACCACGAATTTAGTGGCCTAAAGCGACCCAAATTTATCATCTTGCAGATCTGTAGGTCAGAAGTCTGGTCTGGGTCTTGCCAGACTAAAGTCATGGTGTCGGCAGGGCTGTGACCCTTTCTGAAGACTCTGGGGGGAATCTATTTCCTGCTCACTTGAATTGTTGGCAGAATTCGATTCCTTGTGATTATAGGACCAATATCCTCATTTTCTTGCTGGCTGTAAGCTGAGGGCATTCCCAGTGCTTAGAGGCTGCTCCATCTTTGGTTCACGGTACCCGACCCCCCTCTCCAAAGCCAGCAACAGCAGGTTCAAGATGACATCTCTCTGGTTCTCTGCAGCTGGGAGAGGTTCTCCACTTTAAAGGATGCATGTGATTAGATTGGGCCCCACCTTGATCATCCAGGGTACTCTCCCCACCTCAAGGTGCTTAAACTTAATGCCTAGTACAAAGTCCCTTTTGCCGTGTAAGGTAACATAGTCACAGGATGTGGGCATTAGATCACGGGTATCTCGGGGAGCCATTATTCTACCTACTACAGTCTGTCCTTTGGCCCTCAAAGATTTACATGCATTCCATGTGCAAAATGCATTCACTCCCACTCCAAGATCTCCCGAAGTCTCATCCCATTATAGCATCAACTCAGCATCCAAAAATATCATCTAAGTCTCATCAGCTCAAAAGTCCCAAATCTCAACATCTGAATCAGTATGGGTGAGGCTCGGGGTGTGAATCACCTGGGGCACGAGTCCTCTCCACCTGTGGACGTGTGACACTAAAGAAACAAATCACTTGCTCCCAAAATACAATGGAAGGGCAGGCATAGATAACAGAGCTAGATAGTCTAGCTCAAAAAGGCAGAAGATGGAAGGACAAAAGGAGTCACTGGTCCCAAGCAATTTTGAAATCCAGCAGGGTGATCACCATTACGTTTCAAGGCTTAAGAATGCTCCTCTGTGGTTTACGCCTCTGTCCTCTGGGTCATGCTCTCTTTTTCATGAGAGGTAGCACCCTTTCTCATGAAAGATAGTTTGTAGCTGAGTGGTCTTATTAGCTTGTTTCCCGCATCTAGAATTTAGGGGTCCAGTAATATTCCTTCATTTTGTACTGTTTCTGTCCCTTCAGGTCCAAGCTGCCAGTGTTTGTGCTGGTATAAAATCTTCCAGAACTTTGTGAGTCATGTATACCAGGGGGATGCTTTCTGCTAGACCAGAGACTCATCCACAGATCTTTCTGAAAAATCTCATCTCTGTTTTTGGCTCGAGCTGGGATGGCTGCGGGGAGCTATGCGCCACACCCTCAGTCTCTTCCGAGAGTCTTTGGTGTGACTCAGTGCTCGACCTTCTGATCTATCTGAGCTATTAGCAAAAGGTTGTTCAGCCATACCCTCGGGTCTCCTGACAGTGAGTTTTTAAAATCTAGTATCTTTTGTCACTTGAGTAAACTGAAATTTCCAAAACCATCAAGTCCTGTTTCTTTTTCATTCTACAGTTCTTCCCTCAATTTATCTCTCTCCTCTCAATTTTACCACAAGCAGCAGGAAGAAACCTGTCGCTGCCTTCAACGCTTTGCTTGGAAATATCCTCAGCTAAATATTGACGTTCATGGCACACAGGTTCTGCTTCCCACACACCTGCAGGCACAATTCTGCTAAGTGGTTTGCCGTCACAAAACAAGACTCTCCTTTCCTCCGGTTCCCAACAGCCTGCTCCTCATTTCCTTCTGAGCCCTCACCAGCAGCATCCTCAAAGTGCAGGTTTCTACCGACAGTCCATTTATGACCATTTAGGTATTAGGTATTCAGGCAATTTAGGTTCTCTCTGTAGTGCTCCTCATTTCCTTCTGAGCCCTCATTGGCAGAGTTTTAACATCCATATTTCTTCTAACAACCTGTTCAAAGCAATCTAGATCTTAAAAAAAATTACATTCCTTAAAATTCTTCTACCTTCTTCCTAGTGATCAATTCCAAAGCCACGTCCGCATTTTTAGGTATTTGTCACAGCAGCCCCCACTTCTGGCATCAAAAGCTCTGTTATTAGTTTTCTATAGCTGCCATAACAAATACCACAGACCTAGGGGCCTAAAACAACCCCACTTTTTTATCTTACAGTTCTGGAGATCAGAAGTCTGGTATGAGTCTGA